AAACACAGGGCCTTTTTTTGTAGCAGGAACTCCTTTGCATGTTAGGTCACACGCCCCTAATGTAGCCAATCCTAATGAGTTTCTGCTGTTGGGTGAGGCCTATTATGCTAATGAGTTCCTGCTGGGCGTGGCCAACTCAGGAGCCAGCCGGAACTCCGTTCCTGTGCGTTCCTGCCCAAAAATAGCCCTGCCGCTAACATTCATTGCTAGTGATGCCAGGTTTGTTACTCTGAGGCTGCGAACATATGCACCATAGCCCCGACACAGGCACGAATGCCAGGTGGATTTAAAGGGTGTGATCAGACACGAACATCTGGGAAGCGCCCCGCAGCCATCAGCAACCCGTGTTGCTCCGCCGCAGAAGCAGAGTAAAAAGACACCGGGTAAAGTCCAGTAGCAAACGGGTTGCTACGGGCCACAGATGGACTTTCCCCTGTTTGATTGCTCCAGTGTGCTCTCGTGGCGTCAGGATGGTCTGATCAGGCCATCCGTGCCATTATTCCCCCCCCCCTCTCAGTATGCGCATCATCACACACTCCATAGGGAGCCCTCAATGCGGAGGTGCGATTCATCGATTCCTTGTTTAAGTGCATCGGAAACAAACGGCAAAAAAACCCCAACCCGACTCACCCACGGTTGCGTCCGATCACGCAGTGACGGGCTGCGCCCACAGCTCCAAAGGACCATATGCTCACGTAACTGCGGGTCAAATTCCTCCGGAGGGAATAGCCTCGCTTCCCCACCCCCTTTTTATCTGGCGCGTGTGACTGCAACCTGATATAACAATGACTTCTCAATGGACGGTTCCAAATGGTGACATGGTTGGGCATTTGCTGGGACCCAAACACTGTCAAAGGGACCCAACAGCACCACACTTCTTGTTTTGCCCAGGCTTCAAGAAGACCAGAAGCCGCATTAGAGACCCTGCTTTGCATGCTCCATCTCTCCTCGGTTAGGAAATTTTTTTGCCCGAACTCCTGGAAACGACAGAGCCCCTGTCTACATCAAGCAAGGATCTTCTGGAGTGTTCCGGCTTCCCTCGCTCCCACAGTTAGATGATCACAGCCTCACAGGTCACCGCAGTTCTCTGCGGAAATCGGAGATAACAGCCTTGCTGCCAATTCCCAGTCGCTTAATCCCAAGATGAAAGAAAAGGACAATCGAGAGCCTCAGATCTTGCCAGAGGTCGGGGACTCTCTGGTCAGCTTTGGATTTGCTCTCTCTAATGAGAAGCCGAAGGGACCTCAGAAGGTTTTTATTGCAGGGTCGATAATCATGTAAAACGGACCTTCAAGACCAGCGGGAGGAGAGGAAGTTGGGAACAGCCTGTTAGTTTGCTTAGCAGGAACGGGATATCTTCGAGGCCGAGTTTGTTTTCTCCTCTGCTTGCAGGTATTTTAGTCTGGCCACAGACTAAAGGGCTTGCCGCGTGGAGCCTGCATTAGCTAGCCCAGGGAATCAGGACCCACTCAGGCCCCCTGTGCTTTCTTGGTTTGTTTAAATTCTATCGTTTAAAACTGGTTGCTTTGGATTTTGGAAATTTCTGTAAGCCGCTCTGGCTCCTTTTGGCGAGGAAAGGAGCATCAGAGCCAGGGCTCTTTTTGTAGAAAAAGCCCAGCAGAAACTCATTAGCATAATAGGCCACATCCAACAGCAGGAACTCATTAGCATATTGGGCCAAACCCCTGACAGCACAGCTCATTAGCACATTAGGCCGCACCCCCATGTTACCAGAAGTGTGGCTATCCAGCCACACCCACCTTTTGCTTGTTGTTATGTTTACCTTGTTTGTTGTCAAAACCCAGGGCTTTTTTGTAGCAGGAACTCCTTTGCATGTTAGGCCACACACCCCTAATGTAGTCAATCCTAATGAGTTTCTGCTGTTGGGTGTGGCCTATTATGCTAATGAGTTCCTGCTGGGCGTGGCCAACTCGGGAGCCAGCCGAAACTCTGTTCCTGTGCGTTCCTGCCCAAAAATAGCCCTGAGAATACCCTAATAAGTAAAATAACTGGGAGTAGGCAAGGCACCTTAGCCAGTGAGAACAAGCAAACCATGTCAACCGAAGATCGCCAGAAAAGGCAGATCTCACCATCCCTTCCTCTGGCTCCACTCCACTAAGCCAATCCTGCCAAGCTGCTCTAATGACAACTGCAGTGGCTTTTTAAAAATTATATTATTACAGACCAAAGAAATCCTGGAGACAAACAGACCAGGGCAGGGCTGACAGGCTGATTATCTACGAGGGAGGGAGCCCAAAAAAACCCTTGGACTGGGGAGGAAACAAAGCCCCGTGCCCAAACATCTGCTATCCTTCTGTTCACAGGGGAGAGTGATGGGGAGGAAAGTGGGTGTCAGACTCTCCCTTTCCGACCCAACGGGGAACTCCCGGCTTGGTGGTGGGAAGAAGAGGGTTCCAGTACCGAGGGCAAAGATGCCCAAAACCAGGAGACCGGCAGAGCCCGGCCATCGAACAGACAACCTCGACCAGGTTGTCACAGAGAGGAGCCTACGGGTTTAGGAGAAGATTCGGGCCCGACAGAGCAGAAGCCCGGAAATATCTCCAGAAGAATGTATAGCTTTAAGCGGGAGGGAGACCGGGTAAATGAGAATAAAGATGTCACCTGAGGACTACCAGGGAGGATTGGATCGGGTGGAAACTGAGGTTGGGGACAGCTGTGATAATAACACTGCCCCGAAGTTTCCCCTTGATAAAAGGAGTGCCCTATCTTAACAGGGGTGCCTTTCCGTTCTGAGGTAGTTCCAGGAACATACAGGTTCTCAGGCTCGCTCTTTGCCGCTTAAAGACGAAGGTTCGTGGAAACGCGCCGGGAGAGTTACAGTGGGGTATCAGTAAAGTAATAAATAAGAACATTAGACAGAACAAGTTTGGCTTGCAGATAACACAGGCGTGCAGGCACTATCCTTTTTGGTTTCTTCCTTCCAGGCCTACTTCCCAACTAGCAAACAGGGCCGTACCAAGAATGAACTCCACGCTCAGAATACATAACAGCTTCCTCGAGGCACGGCAAGGTAACACACCTGCCTATTTGCAACCAGAATAGGATTAGTGATGGGCTTTTTCCAGGAAAAATCTCCAGAAAATGTTCTGATTCTAATTTAAACAATGTTCCCGGGGTTTGCCCATGCTCCATGTCCCACATTTTTAGCCCATCTAAGCATGATCAGTTTGCAGCACCAGGGCCCCGACAATTGCAGATAGATTATACTATACATACGTGAGGCAGAAAATTTTCCACGGAAAAATACAGCACTGGAAAATCTTCCACAGAAAATCTTCTAGCCCCACATCACTGATTAAGATTGTAGTCTACTGCGGTGATTATTGGAGGTATCAACTTGCTTTTACTGCAGTGTCTCTTGCCTTTGTAATTCCACTTACTACACTGGTAACAGTAGACCTTGCCTTAGACACCCTTAAGACCAACAAAGTTTAATTCTGGGTATAAGCTTTTGTGTGCATGCACACTTCTTCAGATACGTTTCAATGTATTTAATGTGCCTAATACATTTTAAGGTATCTGAAGAAGTATGCACGCACACAAAAGCTTATACCCAGAATTAAACTTCGTTGGTCTTAAAGTTGCCACTGGACTCAGACTTCATTCAGCTGCTTCAGACTTCATTCAGCTGCTTCAGACAATGCTGTTTGCATTGTTTTAAAATTCCGTATTCCTGCAATGTTCATTGGCAGTCTCATGCTATATAACGACATTGTGTTTGTTTTGTAACCCACCCTGAGTCTCAGCAAGAAAGGCAGGTGATAAGATGCAAACACAGGGACACAATTTTTCACAGCTGTGAACACACACACACACACACACACCACAACATATGCTGGATCTTGGAGAAATGCAGCAAGGCATGAAGAAAATCTGAATTGACACTAAATTGACACTAAAATCAGGAGTGGTTTCTTCTCTGGCAGGACAAGCCCATTAAACCTCCCATGGTTATGCTGCAATTGATAGATGCTCTATTTCAAATGCTACACTTGCCCCCTGCATGCTTTAGACACACTGTGGCCGAGTTCAGACTGGCAGTTTGCCCCGATATAGGCACATTTCAGAAATGTTCCACAACTGGATTAAAGGGGCCATTCACACAGGCGTTCCCCACCCGTACTCAACCCGTCTTGTAACGCTCCGCTCCTGAGTTTAAAAGATACCTGGTGAAAGTGGTAGCAAACTCTGGAAAGCGTGATTATCCCGCGTCCATTCCACACCAACAAAGTGTGAACGCCAAAGCCGTGTTTTTCTCATGCGCTAATGCGCATATGCGCATAAGCGCACATCTCCAGATTACCAAAAAGCAAGCTGCGCCTTACAGCCATGCCTCCGGACCAACAGTGTGAACGCTCCCTTCTGCCTCCTCCTGGTATGCTCCCGCATCCGTCGCTGCAGTGTGAACGGGAAAACCCAGAACACTTTGTTCCGGCTCTTTTTTGCCACAACTCCCTCCCGCTTCAAACTGCCCGTCTGAACTCGGCCTGTATGTCTTTTTTCTTTCCTTTTCTTTTTTAAAAACCTGTTAATTGATTTCCTTTAAAGGTCCTTTACATTTTAAATCCCTCTCTCTTAATTTTCAAGATTTAAACTTTAAATCTCTCTTTTTTAAAAGTTCCAAAACTTGCTGCAGAGCCGTGGAGAGGAGAGGACTGTACTGTTACAGGCACTAGCCAATCCCATGCCGTGCACAGCCTGCTTTTGGTTTCAACCTCTTCCAAGCTGTTTTCTCCAACATCAGTCCTGGAAAGGCCAGGCAAGATTAAAAACCTCCAGAGTATGGGGAGGGCGGGATAAAAATCTAAATAATAAATAAATAAATAAATAAATAAATGGCAGTGCTTGTATTTAGGTGTAAACGCAATGCCAACTAGGCTCCACTCAGCTTCTTTTGGAAAATAGGGCATTCCTTTCAGCCATATAGCATTAATTACGAACAAGGCTTTGCTATGGACCTATACCCTGCTGTGACTAACCTGCACCATCTGGAGTAATCGTTCCGAGCTTCACCGCTAAGGGATAGCCCATCTCCTTATAGTGTTCCAGGGCATGTCCATTTCCCCCGCTGCCATCAAAGAACCACTTTCCACATAGTACTGACCCATCCGTCAGGTTCAGCCAAAGGTTCTCCCGCAAGTCACACTTCGAGCATTTCCAGCCACTGCAAAACAGAAGCAGCCTAAGGTCAAACCAGACGTTAATTGCCACCACCTAAGGAAATCTGACACAAGATATCCAATTGAATCAAACCACAGAGTAAGCCGTGACAACTGCCCAAAGACCTGCCATACTCTTCTTCCACTTTAGAAATCCTGTCCTGTGTCCCGTCCGTCCCGTCCCCACCGGTAATTGTGGAACAACATTGATATACAGGGCAATACTGGATAAAAGTTCCAAAACTTGCTGCTGAGCTATGGAGAGGAGAGGATTGTACTGTTACAGCTTGGTGTGAGAGCCAGTTTGGTATAGTGGCTAAGTGCATGGACTCTAATCTGAGAGAATCGGGTTTGATTCCCCACTCCTCCACATGCACCTGCTGGATAACCCTGGGCCAGTCACAAGTTCTGTCAGAGCCGTTCTTGAAAAAGAGCAGTTTCTGTCAGAGCTCTCTCAGCCCCACCTACCTCGCAGGGTGTCTGTTGTGGGGAGGGTAAGGGAAAGGAGTTTGTAAGCCACTCTGAGACTCCTTCAGGTAGTGAAGGGTGGGGTATAAATCCAATCTCTTCTTCTTCTTCAATATGAGCAACAGAAAGAAACCATAAAGTAAAACAGCAGAAGAGGACAGGTCCTTGCCCCAAGGAGCTTACAAATCTATGTTTCAGCTTTTTGGCAGTGGGAAAGATGACACAGCTGTGACCTGGATGGCCCAGGCTAGGCCAGTCTCGTTGGATCTCGGAAGCTAAGCAAGGTTGGCCCTGGTCAGTATTTGGATGAGAGACCACCAAGGATGTCCAGGGTCACTATGCAGAGCCAGGCCATGGCAAACCACTTCTGAACGTCTCTTGCCCTGAAAACCTTACGGGGTCACTTTATGTCAGCTGTGACATGATGGCAACAGCAACAAAAAATGACAAAGAGGAGAGAGGAGGAGAGCAGGCAGAAAGGGGACGGACGTGAGTGTTCTCCTACCCTGAGAGATCATCAGAGCAGCTATCCCAGCCTGCTGACAATTTAAATTATTCTATTTACCTGTAAAACCCTATAATGTACAGCAGTGCACTTTAGAACCATTTAATTAACTTTAACGTACTTCGCCCGAGTCAGGTAATGGATTAATGCAGCATTAAATGGCTCTGGAGGAAACATTAATGGCTGCCAACAGGGGGGCCTTAATGGCTGCTACAGAGACAGAAAAGGAACGAGAACAGGAGTTTGTTTAAGCTGAAGCGGACCGCTACGTGCCTGTGTGTCCTACGATGGGGGAGCCCCTCTGTGCCCTGAGGCCAATGGTTCCCAACCTTTGGGTCGGTACCCCAAAGTGGCTCATGAAGCCTCTGCAAGCAGGTCACAGGACAGCCTTCCCTAATGGCCACACCTGCCCTTTCCATTCCTCCCACTTGTATCTTGGCAACCAAGACCCTGGAAACAGCATCTTCCATGTCATACATTTGTTGGTATGTTTTCCTCCATGCATATATATGTTGATCACGTAAAACGTGTCCTGACGGTTCCTAGAGTGAGTTTCTTGGACTTTTAGGGGAGATTAGAGGGAGTAATGCAGTAGAGGGTCCAACTTCTCCAAGGGAACTGATCTTTGTTATAATCCCAGGAAATCTCCAGCTACTACCTGGAGATTGGCAACTCTAGTCCCAACAGGGCCTGCCAATAGCCACAAACCCTGATACCTAAATGGGACCACCATCTGCAGCAGCAATACACTTGGAAAGACAACACGATGGGCGAGAGCCAGGGCTATATTTGGGCAGGAACACACAAGAACGGAGTTCCAACTAGCTTCAGAGTTGGCCACGGCCACTACAGCAAAACCTCTGCATGTGTGGCTACAGAGGGAAGGCCTGGAGAGAGACCCCCCAGCGACTCCAAGACGGGCAGGCCGGGGGGGCTGGAAGGATTGGGGTTGGGGCGGCATTTAAACGCTCCCCCCGGCCTTCCCCAGCCTGTACAAGGGCCGGCTGCGGGGCGCCCGGGCAAGCCAAGGGAAGGCAGTTTAAACTGCCTTCCTTTCCCTCCAAGGGCCGGCTTGCCCGGGCTCCCCACAGATGCGCTGTCAGGGGTGTGGCCTAATATGCTAATGAGTTTCCGCTGTTGGGTGTGGCCTATTATGCTAATGAGTTCCTGCTGGGCTTCTTCTACAAAAAATGCCCTGGCGAGGACAGCCTTCCATTGTCTTCATGCCCAGCTTCTGAACTTCCCAGAGGCACTTGGGCTGGCCACTGCTCAAAAACAAGATGCCGATTTAGACAAAATCTTGTCCGAACCAGCCGGGATGTTCCCATATACAACCAGCACCAGCCTCACCTTGGTGGAATCCTGACTCCATTATCCATCTGTACAAGACTATTGGCGTGTTTGGAAACTTGCGGCTCTTCCTCCCAGGAGTCGGGATCTTGCTTTCGATAAGGAGATTTTGAACTGAGGACCGCATCGCAAGCTATGGTGACCTGGAGGGTAAAAGGTTTAGCAAAATGGAACTGAAACAGGAAAGGCAGTAACTTCTCCCTCTGTGCCCTATTGTGATTTGAAACCACGAGGGTCGATAATACTTCATTATTAATAATAATCAGCATTTGGGGAGGGAAGGTGGCATGGTATAGCCCGATCTCATCAGATCTCAAAAGTTAAGCAGGGTCGGTACTTGGAAGGGAGACCACCAAGGAAGGCTCTGCAGAGGAAAGCAATGGCAGACCACCTCTGCTTCTCACTTGCCTTGAAAGCCCCTTGCCGGGGTCACCATAAGGCAGCTGCAACTTGATGGTGCTTTACATACACAATAAGCATTCACACTGCTCTTTTCAAGTTTTGATCATGCTTCTTATGCATTTTCTGAGCAGTCCTTAAAACGGCCCTGTAAGCTAGGTCATTATTATTATTATTATTATTATTATTATTATTATTATTGCCATCTAGCAGACTGCAGGA